TGATGAAGTACTGGATCCGTGCGTGCGTGTACTTGGAAATTACTCGTCAACACTGGCGAGCTGAGTACTGCAATTGCAGCTACAAAGCTGAGTGTGTGCTTCGTCGAATGATCTCTTCCGTTGACTCACTGGCATCTTCTAGGTGCCTGGAAAGCATCCTACGATTTGTGCATTACTCAAATGAAGACACGCCCATGACACGCTTGGAACAAGCCCAAAACCTAGCAACGACAATTGCTGGCGATGAGCCGAGTCGACCAAATCTTGTCATTGTTTCGGGCACCGAAGTCTGCGTCCTCGGCCAGACAGTGCACTTCCAATCCTTCTTGCACATGATTCATGCAATATGGGAGAAGGTCCAAGACGGGATGAAGGGTGTATTGTGTGACTTCGACACGTCGTGGCTGCGGAAGATGATGGACGATCATCAAATCACCGACAACCTCAATAACGAAGAGGTAAGGGTGGCGGACATTATATTCCCAGTATTGATCTGGCACATAGATTGGACACTCGTTCGTCAAGTTTGCTGAGGGGCGGAAGGACTTGTACACCCATTTCCTTACGACGAAGAAGGCACGCTTTGTCAAGCGCGAAACAAACGCGGGCGTGGTGTGGAGCATCGAAGAAGTGGAGAAGTGGCTCCTAATCAATCCAGCTTACCAACAACATGTTCCTTTTGATGCACTTCACTATGGGGCCTGCTCGTGGCAAGGAGTACTCGAGCTATGTCATTCGCAACACGAATGTCCTTGCCCGGACGTTCTACTTCCATCATGACACAATCATGACGATCCAGACGTATCACAAGGGATCAACGAAAGGAATCCCAGAGAAGCCTGTTGCGCGATTTTTGCCCAAACGCTTTGCGTTTGAGTTCGTTGCGTACCTAGCAATTGTGCGACCAGCGATGAGGTGAGGTCATATTTCATGTCATCGTCGTCACATTGTTTCTGTCCTTTAGCTATTTTGCGGAGAAGCGTCGGAACAGAGCGATTGCATGGCAATTTTCGGCCTTGTGGGGAATGGCCATGGGCAAGCCCCAAACCTCCAAGGCTCTGTCCGACCTCATTTCCCAAGCATTCATGGAATATTGCTTCGCTGAAGTTGGCATGAGGCACTTCCGTCATCTTTTCACGCACTTCCTCGCCTTAATCGAGTCACGAAGTAAGTGTCGACTGGTAGATCCAAAATATTCACACAGCATTTTTAGCGGAGAACCTTCAGTTTTACCACCTTGCCGGTCATTCAGTGGCGATAGCGAGGAAGCGCTAGGCACGTAGCTCACATGACTACCGCTTCATGGGAAAAGACGAAATGCAAGTTTACAAGCAAATGGCGGACCGATATCACGAATTGCTGGGCTTGACGGCTGCCTCGACGCATTCCGAAGTCTCAGATGCGCCATTCGTCTCTCCCAACATCGTTGCAACCGCGAAATCCGCGAAAACGAGCACTGATTGCACATCGGATACGCCACATGGTATGTTGTTGCTGGCGGTCTGAGGTATTTATATGTTTGATAGACAAACCTCCAGCATCAACTGATCTTTCCCCGAGTACGGTGCCTGGCAATGTCGAAAGGCCGCCTGAACGCCCCTCCGCATTGCTCAATCGCGTTGCTAAGGGGGCTTTACTTGAGCTCGGTCACAAAGATTGGAAGTCGATGGAACAATGTCATGCCGTAGCTCTTACCATTGAAGGCCGCGTGAGCTGTCTTGCTGTCTTCCCGACTGGCCATGGCTAAAGCTTGCTCTTTTGGCGACGGCCAAGTTTGTGCACAAAATCGTCGTAGTTGTCGTCCCATTGGATGCACTCATCAGCAGCCACATGAATGAATGCAGCGCTGCCAACATCTCAGCTCAAGTGTGGACATCGCGCACCTTTTCCAGGTGCCCCGCGTGCAAGTTGTGCTTGTCTCTGCTGAAGTCGCTGGCTCCGATGCATTTCGGCGTAGTGTCGAGGTGACGAAATCCTCCATCCACGCCATCATCATCGACGAGGTCCACTTGGTTGCGTCGTCGTTCCGGTCCCAAATGAACGCTCTGCGCTCGTCAGCAACGCACGGTCTACCGATTGTTGGTTGCATAGCAACTTTGCCACCGCGTATGACGACCCAAGTCGGATGTGTGTGGGATCGTCTTCCCGGTCATTAAGATTCCAAGTCATCGACCCAACATAAAGTACCCCGTTGAAATCGTGGACAGAATGAAGTTGCTTGAGAAGGCCAAACCAATCAATCATCGTATATACCAACACCTGGCCAATTTTCTCGACAAGGAAAACCCCGAAACCCCGAAAGGACAAGCAATCGTATGCTGTACGACGATACGCGAGGTTGTTGAGCTCCGCGACGACTTGGCGGACAAGATCATCACAAGTGTATTTCACTCACAACTCGAGTCGAAGGCCAAGGCGGAGGAACTGAGCCGCTGGGTCAGACGTGACACGCAGGTCATCATTGCCACAGGCGCCCTCGGTTGCGGTGTCAATGTTCCCGGTGTCACACTTGTGCTGCACCGAGGTGCAGCGTATTCGTTGGTGGCTTTTCACCAAGAGTCTGGACGCGCTGGAAGAAATGGCGAGCCGGCGTCAAGCATTGTCGTGACATCCAGTGCATTCCTTCGTCGTTGTCACGACGATTCGTTGCGCAAGTCACCAGACGTTGCTGAGTTTGTCGAGTGGGCAAAACAAGATAACACCTGCCGTCGAGACATGCTGCACACCGTCGTCGATGGGAAGAGTGTCGACTGCTTTTCTCTTCCCAACGCAATTGCTTGTGATATTTGTGGCTCAAGTGCCGCTCAGCAATATGAACAACCTGCGCCGTCGTTGATGCCGGAGACTGAAGCAAATCGGCAAAATATTGCAAACGAAACCAAGGAGTTTTGGTATGTTGTCAGCAAACTACGCGAGAAAGTTGATTGTCTGTTATGCTATCGCATGTCCAATGGTTCTGATTCATTGAACCACTCCGTAGGTTTCATCATACTTGTTGACCTTTGCTGACAAGTTCTTAGGAGAATGAATGCCCGCGCCTCAAAAAGTTGTGCTGGAAATGCCTGGGTACTTGCCGCACGAAGTGCAAGAACGTTGTGCACCAACAAGAATCGAAGGTGGTATTTTGCAACAAGTGCTACATTCCCAGTCACAAGCACGATGAAGTTCCTTTCCAGGTGTGCACAAATCGAAGTGACCGAGTACGGTCGGCCATTTGGCATTTTTGGCGCACCGAGAGAGCGTTCTTGAAGCAAAAGTTTCCTGGACTTTACAAACACAAAACACAATGCCACTACAGGACCAAGAGAAGCAATTTGCCGAGTGGCTTGTCGACTTGCCGGGCGGCCGCCTGTTCATGAATTTCTTCGCCATTGCCTATGCCATCCTCCAAGAAATTTTTAAGGTCCGTTTTGAACCCCATGACGCCTAGCTCTCGAGCCAACAAGAGTAATCAATATCTTGGCAATTCGTTTAACAATAATCGTGTTTACTTTTCCTGTACAAATTCTTCAGCGCTGCATGTCTCCATACACCGCACACAGTGAGGTCACCACCCGCCCGTCCTCCAAAGAGTAACAAATTCACCTACCAAGACGAGGAAAATGAAATGTTGACAAACTCGGTGTTCCGCACCCAGCACCTTCGACGTCTCGTCGAAGCTACAGGAACCACTCGCTTGGTCCGATTCACAATGCAAACTGAATTACAGTCAATTAGCCAGTGGCCCTCGCTTCGAGGTGAGCCACCCAGTGAGATACATAATTCTACTTTGTAGGCAGAACTGGCTCTTTTGTTCTTCTCTATAGGCACAGCGTCATAAAATTCGATTTAACATTTGATGCACAGATTGCGAGATTAGAGGAGCAGGTCGCCCAGCCCCCAAAGAAAATGTACTACGTAGTATTTCGAAGTAATTTCGATCGACAAACGAGAAAATCTTTACAATCTTGAACCGTCAGATCTCACGTCCCTATACGTTGCGAATGGATGCGCGTGGACTCAAGACACAAGTCCCCGAGTAAAACGCCGACTTGCGTTGGAGCCAACCATCGAAACGTGCCGACGCCTTGAATGTCCTCTTTGCTCACGCCAAAGTCGGTCAGCTTGGTGCCCTTGGTCGAATCCAACAGCACGTTGTGCGACTTGACGTCGCGGTGGATAATGTTGAGCGAATGCAAGTAGACGAGTCCCTCGACGATCTGGTAAATGTATCTGTACTTGTCGATCCAATCAAATTGCGCCGGCGAGTGCGTGTCCAGGTAGTCCTTCAAGTCTCCGCCGTCCATGAGCTCCATGACACATTGCAAATCCGACGGCCGCGTCCAGCACGCGCCAACAAGCTTTACGATGTACGGCGAGTCGAACGAGTTCATGAGCTGGATTTTACTCACAAAGGATTGAATCTGGGTGACTGTGACGCGGCTTGGATGCAGCATCTTGACCGCGACATCATCGCCGTGAAAAGTGCCACGCCACACCTCTCCGAACTTTTGGTGGAGCAAGACATCCCTTGCCTCGATGCGGACGAGCGCGAGCGGCACCAAGTTAATGTTGCTCTCATCCGTCGACGTCAAGGACGGCATCGACTGGCCTCCCGAGTTGGAGAACCGGTTGCCCAAGTTGTGCGTTGTTCCGTTTTGAGTGACGGACCGCCGGTTGTTGGAACCTTTGTCGCCACCGTCAAATTGGTGGTAGTGTTCCTGGTGGGCAGCGCCGCCTCCCGACTTGCGGCCGCCGCGGCTCGACCGCTCGGGGTATCCGTTCGTGGATTCCGGCTGGGGTTTGCGCCGCTTGACAAAGCAAAACACCCCAACGCCCAAGACCACCACGACGCCGACAATCACGCCAACGATCACGCCCGTGTTGTCGTCTTTCGGCGGGGCAGTCGTGACGGGCGTTGGCGTCGACGACGTAGTTACGTCTAGCCACGAACGACATCGCCTTGGATGGTCCAAACGAATGGGTGGCATCGTACCTGGGACGACGCACACTTTAAACACTTCGGACGCGTACTTGTAGTTGCCCATCGACTTGTCCGGCCACAGCTCTTGGATGAAGCCGATTGTGGCGGCGCAGTCGGCTCCGCTCGTCGTGATCTTGGTGTTATAGTAGCCGTACCCCGTGTAGCTCTGCTTGCCATCGTCACGCGTCGAGTCGTCGGCCGTGTTGTTGGGGCGCAGGGACGAGTTGAGCGCGATGAACGTGCTGTTGTCCTTGATCCATTTTGTCAGCGTGACAGACGACAAGTCCCTGCCATCCGTGTGAGTGTCGCCACTCGCGTCATGATCGATGGTATGGCGAACAGGTGCACGATCGACGTGCTGAATTTGACCATGTTGATCGATCGCAGGAGGTTGCAGTTGATGAGGTACCTGCGCCAAGAATACACGATGAGACCACGATGTTGAGCAGTGGCACCACTCACACCAACGTCATCTTGGTCCAGTCGAGGTTCGTCAGCTCCGTGTAATCGTTGTTTTGGAACGACCTGACCATGATGTGAGCCTCCACGGATCAACGTTGATGCTGTCGTACAAGCGAGTGATGCTGCGAGGAAGTGTGCGCAGGTCCTCGATGGACGACAAGTAGTTGGCACCCAAGAACCTACCAACCCCCAGTCGTGAGTTCAAGTCCCTCTTTTCTCATTTTTATATTATATTAAAAAGATTATTCTATAGTACAAATTAATAAAATTTCTATAGCTATAGATAAAACATAAGCATGTTCTTGACTTATGAAGGCGGCGGCGCGGCAAAACGTGGACGTACAGGACGGAGAGATTGGAGGGAGGGGGTACAGCACACTGAACTTTTTCAGGTTGCCATTTTGCATGGTCCTATCCACCCAGTCAGGCGGCGCATGGCGCGCGAATTCCATTACAGCTTGGTCAAGTTGGTCGGCCATGGCCGCATCTTGGATTCGGCGGGCAACGAGATGTTTATGAACGATCTATCGTGCAAGTGCACGCGTGTCAACGATAGATATCCCTATGGATACAATGTCCATACAGCTCCGAGAAACGATCGGGGAATTGGCCATGTCTAGGTTAATCACGCTCCGTCCGCCCGTGAAGAACCTACCACGTCGTCAGGCACCCAAGAACTGGATCACAACGAGATCGAGACACACGCACCAAGAGTAGAATTATGCAGGAGCGTTCTTGAATGTCCCGATCGCATCCCAGTACGATCCCCAAGGCAACACGGTGCACGTGCGTTTGTCCACTACGCACCAGCGGGCAGATCGACTTGTCCGAGATCAACACCTGGGATGCCGCCAAGCTCGAGTAGTCACTTTGCGAACATGACTGTTACCGCAGGTGATATTGGCGTCGCATGTATTTGATGGCATGGACGAGTGGGCATTCCACGTCATGTACTTGCGGTCGGGGCATGTGCACTTTTTTATGCGCTCGCCAACGTCCCGCTGGCTGGACGCAGCCAACTGTCGCTGTACCACACGGCGGACGCGTGGCTCCGCGAAGAAGACCTTCCCCCGAGAAGGAGGACAAGGCGTCAGGAACTCTGGAACATGCGCAGAACCGAGCGGGCGGGTTTGCCAACGGCCGCCTTGGCGAATACCTGAGCCTGCAATGAAAACCTCAAAGCAGAAGCCTTTTCGAAGGTGCCAAGCAGCGCACTTAGAATAGGAATTACGCGCAGGAATCTACCACATCCAGGTCGAACGCAGCGTGCCCTCTGTTGCTAGCTGCTGCATCTTGGGCAGAGTTTAGCCAGCCGTCAAACCTGCCTGCTAGCCACCTTTCCAGCCCAAGATTTCGAAACTAGCGTAGAGGAAGTGGGCCAGCGCAATCGGTGGCGGACGAGTTAACGTGGGTCAAAATTCACACAAGGTCAAAAATCGTAACCGACCGTGTGTGTGAGACTCTGTCGGGTTTCGACATCACACAGACTTGGACCCGAATGGGAAGTTTGTGTTGCATGCGGGAGTGACACAAAAACCAGTGCCACGTTGCAGTTTCCACCGGAATATGAGTCGCTCTTGCCGCGTCAATCCCCCTATCCGAGCTGAAGATCTTCGAAATCGAGCTTGGTCAAACGGTGCTGTGCCCTGTACGTAGACTGGCAAGGCCCGTCCACCCACGCTTGCCAAAACTTCCGGAATACGTATGCCAGAGGGCTGGGAATAATACCCTTGACGCTAGAGCCGCCCCGAGCGACTCGCATCTCCAGCACCAACCCCGTAGGATGTTTGGAATTCTACGGAGCCCAACTTGACCTTTCGGGTCACCATAATCGCCGGTACTCCCTTGCCATGCGGTGCTAGGTCCGTAGAGCGCGGCATGTCGCGCATCACCACACTAGCTCCCGCTGCGAGTAAGCGGTCTCAAGTCCCAGCGAGGCGACGGACGTGTCGGACCCCGAGTCGAGCAGGGATGTGGGTAGGACACCCTCGACGACGCACTCGAGCGGTGAGGTCGATGTCGACGGCGCTGGGACCTTGAGTGCATTGAATTGTTTGGCAACTTGGTCCCGGCTGCCATCGCCACCGGCACCACGGTTCGGGGTGCTGCTGGGTCCTCTGCCCCCGGCATTACCACCTCGCCCGGGTCCGTTACCGCGCCCGCCTCCCCGGTTGCTACGGAGAAGTTCGGACGCTTCTTCGGGGGTTGCCTTTGGGCAGCTACGGACCATATGGCCCAACGAGCCGCACTTGAGACAACCTCCCCGAGGTGTCGCTCCCGACGCCGGTGCTCCTCGTGACGGTGCCGGGCTCTTTTTCGGGGACCCGCCGCAGGCGCGTACAGCACCGGCGTTAGGTTTGTTCCCCTTGGAGGGGTTGAAGTCTTCAGGTCGCAGCTTGACGAACATCTGGTAGGTAGTTGCGTACTCCCGAAGCCACCGCACGAACTTGAAAACGTCCGTCCTAAATGTCTTGTTGCGATGCATTGCGATCTCCTCCTTAACTGCCTCTTGTAGACCGGCTGGCTTGATCGCATCCACGATGATGCAGACCATCATCAATGTTCCCGCGGGATCGTTGCCCACGAGAAGTACGTTGCCCTCGCGGTGGTTCGGACATGCGCCAGGTACAGTACGATAGAGTAGGTAGAGTCCGAAGTGTTTGATCAGGCGACCAGGCGAATTGAAGCGGCTGGTAGTCGGTAGCTGATAGCTCTAGCTCTAATCGAATGTACTTTTGCTTTTTACGAAGACGGTGAGAGTCAACAGTCTCAGCTCTACGCGTCGCGAGGACCGGGAGTGAGAACAAAGAAATTTTTAGTTACTGCTGAAGCTTTTGCTGTCGTTCGGTGGAACGGACAACCATGGAG